AAAAAAAAAAAAAAAAAAAAACGATCCTTGCGATCATTTTTCAAACGTCGAATAGCTTGCACTGCCTTCGCTCCAATTTCGTTCGTTGAAATTCGCTTGCCATTTTCTCCTCCCACCGTTCCAAGCTTTTGCACCCGAGACACCCACTCTTCTCCTCTACAGATTTCGAGATTGGCTATCGGGCACGACTTTTACGACTTCTAATGCCGAACATTGCCAGCATTCGAAACTTTTACGTTAGAGGCATCCTCCACGCGACTTTTACGACTTTTAATCCCGAAATTTTCTTACCAATATCTCGCTTGTTAGTCGAAAAAATAATATCCGAAACTGAATTTTTATACTCTCTATCCAACTTTTTATCATTGAAATCTCTGGTTAATCAAATATAATACCTTTCGAGATTGGCTATCGGACACGAGTTTTACGATTTGTAATGCCAGCATTCGAAGCTTTTACGTTAGAGATTTTTACACGATTTTTACGATTTTTAATTTTCATTGTCGAAAATTTTTTATAATATCTCTTTTGTTGGTTGAAAAAAATATTCAAAGCTGAATTTTTATACTCCATCTCTATCTCAACTTTTTATCATTGAAATCTCTGGTTAATCAAATAAATATCTTTCGAGATTGGCTATCGGACACGAGTTTTACGACTTGTAATGCCGAACATTGCCAGCATTCGAAGCTTTTACGTTAGAGACCTCCTTTACGCGACTTNCGATTTTTAATTTTCATTGTCGAAAATTTTTTATAATATCTCTCTTGTTGGTTGAAAAAATATTTAAAGCTGAATTTTTATACTCCATCTCTATCTCAACTTTTTATCATTGAAATCTCTGATTAATCAAATAAATACCTTTCGAGATTGGCTATCGGACACGAGTTTTACGATTTGTAATGCCGAACATTGCATTCGAAGCTTTTACGTTAGAGACCTCCTTTACGCGACTTTTACGATTTTTTCATTATCGAAAATTTTTTATTAATATCTCTCTTGTTGATTGAAAAAGATAACAAATATCCAAGCTAAATTTTTATACTCGAGAGATTAATCAAATATCTTTCCAGATTATATCAAGATTATCTCATTAATATTTCACCAATATCTCGCTTATTATTTGAAAAAATGATGTACAAATATACCCGAGATATATATTCGCACACCTTTAACCATCTTTTCACCATCGAAATCTCTGATCAATCAAGTGACGTAATACTACCTTTCGTCGTCCTCCAAGGTGTAGGCCATCAAGGCTGCCCCTTTCTCGACGGTGGCGCAGGTGGATCCGAGATGGGACGGCGCCTTGCCCGTCATAGGGCTGGCGAAACACTTTCGTTGCCTGTGCCTCGAGACGATCAGAAATATCGCCACGGCGAGAAGCAGGATCACGGCTGTTAACACGCCGATCACCACCGCCATGTAAGTAGGATCGTCGTGTTTCGCGGTCGAGACCGGAAGCTCGCCCTCCGCGGCACCGTTCTTCTCCACGAAAACGTCGCTCTGGATCGGGGACTCGGTCGTCGGTGCTTCCTCCGGCGTGAAATTACCGTGAGCGATGTCTGCGTGAAAACAATCAGACTTATGACGTATCTCACCATGACGAGTGTAAAATTAATAGTGTTTCTCGTTTATTCGTTTAAGGCTTAAGAAACGAGTGAACGGTTTTCTTTACAGTTTTTATTTTCATCTCCTCTTTATCGCAAGTAGAGTAAACTTTTCTATAATACACGATGTATATATATCTTTTTAAATCGGTAACACGAATATTTATCTTTAAAAATTATTATTATGTTCGGCGAAAGATGGAAGATAAGAATTGATATAACTCCGAATATATTCTCGCATGCGGCTCGATCATCTATAATGGGAATACAAATTAATCTGCATTCTGTATTCGTCGTAACAAGAAAAAAATTGTTTCATAACTGTGTCATTCTGTGATAGTCTACTGTACGAAAAAAAATTTATCATTGTGGATTCGTTATCTCCCCACGTTATTTTTCAACTTATACGTCTTAGAACGTAGAGAAGTATAAGTAAATTCATAAATGAGACGAGAATTTGTCTCTCGACTTTTAAATTTATTCGATCCGAATTATGTTATTATTATATAAAAAAGATCTCGTTTCTCGTTTCAACTTATCGTCCATTCAATTTTATTATATTATTAAAAAAAATTAAAAAAATTTAAAAAATTTTTTAAAATTTAAAAAAAAATTAAAAAAAAATCCTGGCTGGTTTTGGATCGTGTTCAAGGATTCGCAAAGGATCGTCCCTCTTTTTCACGGGATCCACATCACGCGCAACGGCCCGTCCAATATTTGGGGCAGAAAAACATTGACGTGGAAACCGGCGGAATCGTTAAAAGATAGTCGAGCGCGTATGGAGCGCATAATCAACCTGTATGCGTTCTAATGGAAAAAAAAAAAAACGGGCAGCATTCCGCTTTCGAGTTTTCCATTTGCTTGATTGAAACGTCTCTCTGAACGATTCGATTGTCTAATTACTTCGTTCTCTCTCCCTCTCTTCCTCTCTCGTGAATGTATATAGCCATAGCAGGTTTTGAATAATTTCTCGTTGCCTCGTCGTTGGAAAAACGCCACAGGAGAACAGCCAGCTGGGGAACGAAGGAACGAATAAAAATATTTCGGGCGGACACAGAGATGTGTGGTGTCACTCGAAAGGTGCGACGAGAATCACGTTTCACGCTGTCACAAGCAATTAAACGCGGGGTATACGGGTCTTGAACGAATTTCCTTGACGCGAGACACGTGTTCCCCGCAGTTTTTGCCGACCACCCTTTTATCCCGACTGCGCGCATAAACATCCTATTACACGACGAATTACTGAATTTTATTAATTTAATTTAATCTTTAATTTCATTCTTAATGATTATATTTTTTAAGTGAACAGCGATTCGCGTTCATTCAATCGAATAGAAATATCTCGAATAACAGTCTATCTTCCTTTCCTGTATTTCAGATAGAGAAATTTATCGAGAAATTTTATTTCATTTCTTTTCACGCGATCATACTGTCATCGTTAAAAATGTATACGTACATTTAATTGAAGAATAAAGGCAGATTTCCATAGAAAGTCACTTAAGAGAAAACTGTCTAAACTTGTAATATTAAAAAAAAAAAAAAAGAGAGGAATATCTCTCGATGAGATTTCGAGCTGCAATCCTTTACTGCTTTTGGAACGCCGTCGAATCGAATCGAATGAAAAGAGAGCTGGGCGAAAAATTAACGCGACGTTGAAACGCTCCACCGATAAAAACCCAACTGACATTCCTTCTTCCCTTCCTTGCTTCCTTCCTTTCTTCCTTTCTCCCCCCTTCTCTCTCTCTCTCTCGTCTCATTGCGCGGAAATTTTTCCCCCGTGAACTCAGCGAACTCTATCTCTCCGTGGTTTGTTTCGTTAAATAAAATCTTGGCAGACATCATCCAGAGGCGACGTAACCGAGGCGGAAAAGGGTGGCGAAAAAAAGGAGGATCGCACAAGTGGTGGATTCACAGATGAAGCGTTCCCTTCCCCGGTTCACCACCGAGTTTATACACGTGTATATATATATATATATATTTTCTGTGTGAATTCCTCGCAGGAATTATATATACGAAACAAAGCTGTCGTCGCGTTTGATATCGGCTTTTACGTGGCAAGCGTTCCCCCCTCTCTCTCCTGTCGCCTTCCACGAACCGTTCCATACGTACATACATCCCGTATGAAATCTGATATTAAACATTCTTCGCAAGGGTTAACCGTGAAAAAGAGGTTTCGTCTCGCGAAGCCCGATACTCTCTTTCTCCCGTTTCGTTCTAGTAATCTAACGTGTAATGCATAGCATAGGAGGCGAGGGATGCATCACGGTGGCGGTCGAGGTTTTCGCGTTTCACCTCGTTTCGCGAGGAGAGGATCTGTTGATAAGGAAGATGGTTTCTTTGATCGATGGTTTTTGATGATTGTTCTCCGGACGATGAGTGAATTTGGCGGAGGATAAAAGTGGTTTGATCTCGGAATCGAAAAGTGACGATGGACAGGTTGACCAGGATAAGGAAGATAGTTTTCTGATTGATAGTTTTTGGTGGTTCTTCGGACGATGAATGAATTTGGCAAAGGATAAAAGTGGTTTGGTCTCGGAAACAAAAGGTGACGATGGACAGGTTGATCAAAATAAGGAAAATAGTTTTTTGATCGGTGGTTCTCCGGACGATGAATGAATTTGGCGGAGGATAAAAGTGGTTTGGTCTTGGAAAAGTGACGATGGACAAATTGACCAGGATAAGGAAGATAATTTTCTGATTGATGGTTTTTGGTGGTTCTTCGAACAATAAATGAATTTGGCGGAGGATAAAAGTGGTTTGGTCTCAGAATCGAAAGGTGACGATGAACAAATTGAACAGATTGATCATGATAAGAAAGATGGTTTTTTGATCGGTGGTTTTTGCTTGTTCTTTGGACGATGGATGAATTTGGCAAAGGATAAAAGTGGTTTAGTTTCAGAATCGAAAAGTGACGATGGACAAGTTGATCAGGATAAGGAAAATGATTTTTGGTTATTGTTCTGCGGACGATGGATGAATTTGGCGGAGGACAAAAGTGGTTTGGTCTCGAAAACGAAAGGTGACGATGGACACGTTGATCAAAATAAGGAAAATAGTTTTTTGATCGGTGGTTCTCTGGACGATGAATGAATTTGGCGGAGGACAAAAGTGGTTTGGTCTCGGAATCGAAAAGTGACGATGAACAAGTTGATCAGGATAAGGAAGATGGTTTTTTGGTGGTTGTTCTGCGGACGATGGATGAATTTGGCGGAGGATAAAAGTGGTTTGGTTTCAGAATCGAAAGGTGACGATGGACAAGTTGATCAGGATAAGGAAAATGATTTTTGGTTGTTGTTCTGCGGACGATGGATGAATTTGGCGGAAGATAAAAGTGGTTTGGTCTCAGAATCGAAAGGTGACGATGAACAAATTGGACAGATTGATCATGATAAGAAAGATGGTTTTTTGATCGGTGGTTTTTGGTGGTTCTTTGGACGATGGATGAATTTGGCAAAGGGTAAAAGTGGTTTGGTCTCGAAATCGAAAGGCGACGATGGATAAGTTGACCAGGATAAGGAGGATAGTTTTCTGATTGATGGTTTTTGGTGGTTCTTCGGATGAATGAATTTGGCGGAGGACAAAAGTGGTTTGGTCTCGAAAGGTGACGATGAATAAATTGGATAGATTGATCATGATAAGAAAGATGGTTTTTTGATCGGTGGTTTTTGGTGGTTCTTTGGACGATGGATGAATTTGGCAAAGGATAAAAGTGGTTTGGTCTCAGAAAGGTGACCAGGATAAGGAAGATGGTTTTTGGTTGTTGTTCTGCGGACAATAGATGAATTTGGCGGAGGACAAAAGTGGTTTGGTCTCAGAATCGAAAAGTGACGATGGACAAGTTGATCAGGATAAGGAAAATGGTTTTTGGTTGTTGTTCTTTGGACGATGGATGAATTTGGCGGAGGATAAAAATGGTTTGGTCTCGAAAACGAAAGGTGACGATGGAGAGGTTGACTAGGATAAGAAAGATGGTTTTTTGATCGGTTATTTTTGGTCGTTGTTTTCCGATGAATGAATTTGGCGGAGGACAAAAGTGGTTTGATCTCGGAAACGAAAGGTGAAGATGGAGAGCAATTTTCGCGAAGCCAACAATCGCGAAAAACGATGAATTGTGAACGGTGGTGATTGATCGGCGGTACTCGAATAATTGTAGTACATAATTAATCTCTGTGCACAATTGATCGATGGTACACAGGATCGAGATGATTGGAAAAAACGAATTTCTGGTTTCCATTTCCATTCTCCTCCACCACTTGAGAAGGAAAGGAGGGAGCAGGAAATGCGATTCCGTCGGACACCTCTCGAGCGTTCCTCTCGATTGATACTACTCCCTCTTTCTTTTTTTCTTTTTTTTTTAAATCGAAAAGCCTGCAACGGTATTAAACAGCGGTCCCATTTTTAACGCAACAATTAAATTCTTGTCACGCGTGTGCAAAGGACTTCAAGTGTCATAATCGGAATCGAGTTTCCAATTAAAATTCTTTTTATCCCGGTGCCTGCTCGTTACACACGTCGCCCCCTCCCTCGCTCAATCGGCCTTGCCGATTAATCGACCGACTCTTTTCTTAAACGTGGGCTTGACAACCTGTTGTTGCAATTGTGAAACATCGAGAGTGTTGTTGTTTATCGGATGTCGATGGAAAGGAAAGCGTATCGAGAGAAAGACGACGTGTACGTGTCTCGCGTGTTGTTACAAATTTATTATTCGTTTGCGAGTTCAATGGATTTATTTGAAAATTGATAATTGTGATAAATCTCGATATACATCTTGTACATATTATTTACAGATAGAAGAATTCGTACAAGTCATTGTACGATACTAAAAATAAGATATTTATATATTAGAGAGTAATCGAATCAAAGTATGATTTACGAAGTTCTTGAAAAATTTGCTACGCAAATAATCGCGCCTTGTACAGTGTCTTAGTTTTAGAAGAAGAACGAAACTTTCAAGT